TGGCATTTCAGAGGCAGTAAGTTATCTTTGTCTACCTAAAGTAAATTAAGTTACATAAATATATTTTCTAAAACAAGTTTCAGATTTTATTTTATTAAAAAGTAGAAGAGACATGGGGTCTACATTCATTAATATGTATATATTTAGAGTTAAGATGAACCAGGTCACAACTAGAGAGTAAAGGGAGTTCCTCATGAAATTTTTCTAAGTCCAATGATCATGTTTTTTTCACAAAACATTTAATATTCCAAATGGAAAATCTCAACCTTTACTAAATTTCTAATGTTTTCTGCACACCTTATGCTGAAAAATGGGCCCTCAGTATTAGAATACAATACTTAAAAAGGCTGAGTAGAAAATTAGTATATTCAGAGGGAAAAAATTAAGAAAGCTGAACAAAAATATATAAAACAACTTAGAGACCCTATATGGGAACAATCAAGAGTTATCTGAGGAAAATTAATATAAGGATAAGGTGAGGAAGAGCTGAAGAGACACTGTCTCAGAAATGATCTTAGAGAGATGTGAAAAACAAAATTTCGTGTGAGATTTTGACCCAAATAGGCAACATGTAAGCATTATATGGCCTGAAAGACTACGTTCTAAGGGTGGCATCTGTTCTAGTGGGTAATGCTCAACCTATGTATACACAGATAAAAACAGAAACATAAGCATAAATATATTAAATTCTTGAAAAAAGATCTGATGCAATAAATGGCTTGGTGGTCAGGGGGTTCTTTTATCCGAGAATGAGGACTTGGAAGGGTCCAAATAAAATATATGGGAGTCTTTGGTGGTTTCCTTGGAAATGTGAGAAATCTTTAGAATCTGGGAAAATCCTGAGTGCAGACTTTGTACCAGTAGAGAAGGGAGCTTTGAAGACTGTTCCCCTGGCACCGGGCTCTGGGGAGGAGCTAGGTATGTGAATGGAGGGGAGGGTGAGAAATCTTATGGTAGGAAGCACGAGATGAGTGACATCCTAGGGAAGCAGGTGTCACAGAGGCAGGCTGGGTCGGCTATGCGTCCATGAGAGCCATGCACCCTAGATGTGGAACAAGGAGAAAGACGGGTCCTTGCAGAAAGAAACATGCCTCCGAACAGGGAGTGCATCTCTTTTCAGCTGAGATTTTTGTGGTTGGGGAGGTCAAAAGATAGGGTAGGACTCACCAAAAATGGCAAAAGGAAATGAGCTGGTAGACTGAAAAATTTACCAATTTTACCTTAGGTGGCAACAGAAACCTAAATTTTAAGATTGGTTTGCTCTGCCTAGTGAAGAAGGACACACTGGAAAACGAACTTTAATGTTACATTTGGCAAACAAACAGCATTTCTTGTCTGCGGTGCAACACAACCTTTTCCCCTCACCAGGACAAGAACTCAAACAAATACACCACAGAACCATCCATTAACATTCCTTAAGGAACTATCTTAGCCACCATTCTTCTGATTTAATGCAAAGATAATTACTCTTTAGCAAGACATTTTGAAAGGCTTACATGTTAAGCAGTTATAAATGTCAGGAAATCTGGTTGCTTTGATAAAATGATAAAAGGGTGAGATAGATAACTAAATTAAGAGTTGAGTGCTATTTTTTTAAAGGGGTTGGTATATGTAAATATTAAGGATGTTAATGGGTTCTATATGAAAAATCTTTAATTAAGAAACATCTAAGATAGTTTATATGAAGCTTCTTGTAAAAAGGGTTTTTCCGTTTGAGTTTACATGAAGCTTCTCATAAAAAGGGTCTTCTGTTGTTCCTCCATGGACATTAACCTGTGACAAGTTTCATCACCTCCTGTCTCCCTCAAAATGTTTTCTTGTTTGTGCGGTTTGCCCATCCTTTCTTTCCTCCTTCCCTCCCAGTTAAAGAGATGACGTGGCTTCCCTCAGGTCCAAGGAAATGCTCTGTATAAATTACCACTTCCAAAATCTTGTTGCTCCCTCTACTTCTATCTCCAACCCATCCCATGCAACAAGCAATGTCTCTCCAGCCCCTGCCAAACCAACCAACCCTCTCTCTCCTCATTAGCTACCATGTCTTCCTCTTCACACATGGGACCTAGGGAGACTGTCAAGGTTTGAAGCAGCTCCAGAGCCAGACCAGACTCTCACCTCTGCCTCATGGTCTGCACCATCTCTCTCACAATATCTCTGCTGCTCTCTGCAAGCCTGATCCTTTCTCTTTTGCCTGGCAGATGCTTTGAATATTCCTTAGCCAAAATTCTGAAGGAATTGAGTCTACTCTGCTCAGCAAATTCTCTCTCCTTGATCCTCCTCTCCTGGGCAATCTCACAGGACCGCTGAAGACAGAACCTGGAAAGCATCTTGGACTCCGCTCTCTCCTGTAGGAAGTGCTATCCTCTTCGCTTCCCACATACTTTAAATCAAATCTACTCCTTCTCCTCCATCTCCACAGCCAAGGCCTTTGCTGAGGTCTTCACCCCCTCTCTTCTGGACTAAAACCGACTACCTGGTTTCCCAACCTCCAGTCACGTCTAAATATATTACTAAAATGAAAATCTGATCACCTCGGTTCTCCACTTTAAAATACTGAAAGAGCTAGTTATTTCTGGGCTCTGAAAATTAAAAAAAAAGTTACAAATACTTTAAAAAAAATTTACCAGTCGACTTCCTAATTTTTCCACAGTATATATGAGTATCATTTTTGTGGAACAAGGAAATAATAAACATTAAAACATTCTACACAAGTATCATCTCCTTTAAGATGCCTTTTCTTCTTCTTTTAGGCCTAAGAAGTACTTAGAAGGTATGGGTCTAAGGTTAACATTCTGCAGATTGATCTCCCAGAAAAGGAGTTGGTTTCCTCCAAAGCTCGAGGAAAACTGGCTGTGGCACAGTGCTCAATGCAATCAGTCCTGGTCACCTGCAATGTTTGGACCCGACCCCCTGATCAGGCTCAGGGAGGGGATGGTGCTCTACCTGTATGATTACATGCTTTTTGAATAAATGAGTGCACAGAGCTGTGGCAGCAGACCAAGGTCACAAAAGTCAAAAATTAGAAGAGTACCTGTACCTTCATTCTTGTCATTTGAATTTCTAAAAACTTTCTTTTTAAACCCACAACTTTTTATTAAAAAATTTTAAACCTAAAGAAAATCACAAGAAGAAGACTGATAACCTGTATATTCCTCCCCCAGCTGTATTCTTCACCAATTCCTCACCCATAGTTACTGTTTTGTCACATTTGCTTCCCCACCTCTTCTCCCCTCTCCTACCATTCTCACCATCTCTGTGTATTTAAAAGATTGTTTTGCCTGACATTATGCTGTACACCAGAGATTGATACATTGCAACCAACTGTATTTGAATGAAAAAAAAAATTTTTGGCCCACACCACTTGATCATGATTTGCAGCTATTTGAAAACTTCATCACTACATATTTTAGCACATGTCTCCTAAGGATACACAAGCAAATATAATTGTGACACTTAGGAATTTTGATACTAAACACAATACTAATCTGTAATAAAGTCCATATTCAAATTTCCCCAACTGTCTCAATACAGCTGCTCCCCACTGCAGTGCAGGATCAGTTCAGGATTAGTCACTGCATTTGCTTGTACGTCAGTTCAGCCTGGCTTAGTCTAAAATAGTTTCCTAACCCTTTTTTCTTTCATGATATTAACATTTTTGAAGAATCTAAGACAACTGTTTTGCAGAACGTTAAAACCTGGCTTTAAAGGAAATGATTTGGGTTCCTTGTGCCTCACCTAGTACATAGGCTACGCCTTGGGATTTCACTCTGGTGTTCTCAACCTATTTATAACAGAACTTATTTAAAATTCAAACACAGAACTGTAATGTTGGAATGGGGCTCTGAGATTTATTCTCTCAAATCCCCTCTGAGAAAACTGAAACCCAGGAGAGTTTGGAAACTTGCTCAGTGAGAGGTTTGAAATAAAGATCTGCCCTCCTCCTCCTCAGTGACCTTTCCACCACATTACACACTGTCCCAGGGCATCTTCTGTTGGATGACAAAAAGCATTTCAGGCTATTTTTATACTCTGAGTATAAGTTAAAAATGTTACTGTTGGGTATTTCCAAATTATATCTCCTAAGGTATTCTTGATAAATCCGCATTCCTCTTATTGCTTGAATAACTGTTTGAAGTGCAACAGATACAAATGAGGTAAAACAACTTTTTCTGACACAAGTCTGCTGCAGTTAGTTCTGGCCCAGCAAGAGGAAGGGGATGCAGACACAAAGGTGCCCCCCCATGTGTGTGAAACGAAGGATCATATCAGCTCCAGTTCTTTGAGTTATTAATTCTGCAACCATGGACAGATCATTAACTCTCTCTTAGATTCTTTTTCTTCTTGTGTAAAATAGGAACACAAATGATCAGACTCCTACAGATGGTTATGAGGAATAAACGAAACTATCAAAGGAAATGGTATCAGCAAAGCACCAAAACGCTTCCTGGCACAGCCACTAATTCCCTTCCTAATTCTCAACTTGTATATAGTAAAAATCCCCTTGAAATTATAGTAAGAAGACAAAGCCATGCTGGAGTGCAACATACTCTCTCAATATGATAATTCCAACTTGCAACAGTTTTTCTTCCATCTTTGAGACAAATTGCTGTTTCCTCATTTTGGCACAAGCTCTAAGAATAGGCACTTAACAGTCATGCTGTTATATATATATGTATATATATACACACACACACATACATATACATGAAAACATATATATATTTTATATATATATGTCTTGTATATACACATACACATTTGTTTGAACATAGAAGCACACTTAATGCAGCTGTAAGGCGACTAGGCAAACAGCAGATACACAACTCCTATTTCATGCTCAATGAGGACATGGAAATGGTGGGTGAAATTGGGCCAAAATATTTAAATCATTATTTCTTTCTCCTCTTTTTTCCGCCAAGTGTGCATAGCTGAATTTGCAAATGTTAATTAAATATACATATAATGTAACTCCACTGGAAACGTAACTCTTTTTTTGCAGACAGAAAGGATGTGGCTGAACTCCGGCAGTACACCTGCAACTGACATGGGCGAGAAAGGAGGAGCCCTGACTCAGGGCTGAGGTGCAGCCAGTGTACATGGGGGAGGCTGTTTCAGTTGTTAAAACACTGTAATTCTTCATTACTGAATGGTAAGTAGCTGCCGTCTGAGCCCCCTGAGGTGCCCCAGTATCTTTGCCCCGCTTCTTGCTCCCTTTCCTCTAGCAGCTGAAGGGGTAACAGCACACCCTACTCCGGCACTAGGCCTGGTGTCACCAGACTGCTATTATTTCAAACACCACCCCGTCTCCATCTCCATCTCTCTATCCACGCCTAGGCATTGCTGGTTGCCAGTTGCCCCAATTATTCTAGCACTATCATTTGGCATTTCCAACGCTAGCTAAGGTTACTGAGCATCTGTGTGTGTGTGTGCGTGTGTGCGTGTGTGTGTCTGTGTGTGTGTCTGTGTCTGTGTGTCTGTGTATTGGGAGAAGGAAGTGAACATAAGAGAAACCTTGTTTCTCAGAAAACAAGAATTATCATCATGGGACCTATTATTTCAGAATCTCCTATCAGATACAGATAAGATTCTGATTTATCAAGCCTTCTGTTTTTCATCCTCATCAATCCAAAAACTGTTTCATCCTCTCACCGCCTGACGGAGTCTCTAGCCAGCAAAAGCGTATCATCCTCCACACCTCTTCAAAGAGAGAAAGCCAATTCCTGATGTTAACAGGAGCAGCACATTCACAAATAGGAAGTACAGCATTTTAAGACTACATCTAATGACCTAAAAAATGTCATCAGTAATACAAAATGTCAATGCTTAGAGTGTAACTGAAGAAAGAGATTTATTTTTACCTAGAAGGAATGAAAAATAATTCATTAAGTAGCTAAACAAAAGCTCAGCAGTGAGGCTAAACTAGGTAACGAAAAAACTCAACAAAATAGAATAGTTTTTAAAATGTAGTTTAAAACTACATTAAAAAACTTTATAGAAACTAGAGTTTAAGAGAATAGAAAATTCCATGACTGTCTTAAATGACTTTTCTAGGAATTGGACTCTCATCAGCACATATGGTACTTATAATGCAAAGTTGGTCATTATATATATTTTTAGTATTGTTCTTGTTCCTGCATGACTCGATATTTGTAGATATTTCTCTCTCTCTTTGGAACAATCTCCAAAAGCTAAAAACGTTAACAAGCATTTGAAAATTATCCAAGAGTGTAAGTATAACTTACCCATTATACATGACTACCTTCAGAATAAAAAAAAAAAATAGCACGATATACTTATTTCATATAATTCATCATAAAACACAGAAAAACAATGTCCACACCTGCATAGGTCCAGGAATGCAAGACAGAACTCTCTCTATGTTCTCAGAGGTCACATCTACATCGTTCACAGCAACAAGGACATCACCTGAAAACAGAATCATAATGAACGATAAATGCGTGAATATCCAAAACAGAAAAAGATCTAGAATGGGAACATTAAAAAAGCATCTATTCTGATCTCCTCAAAGTAGAACGGAAAATATGGTACAGACATTCGGGGACTTGTCCAAGGTTGTAAAGCTCAGTAGTGGCAGAGCGAACTTCCCACTCCACTCTTTCTTAAATTAAATGCAGCCCAACATTGCACCACAACTAAATATAACCTATGAATATTTAAAGGGACGAATATTTTCATTTTTGGTACAACTAGGAGAATTACATAAACCCAAGGGACAAATGGAAAATTTGTAGCGTAAACCAAGTCCTGCACTTAACAAAATTGAATCTAACCACTTAGACCCATAGTGAAAAAATGCAGCTGAAATTTTAATTAAATCCATGTGGTACATCATAACTCAATAAGCTGGGTATTCACTGCTATTGCTGATCTGTGTCTACACACAGCTCTTTGTTTCAAAAGTCCCCAACCACATCAAAACCCATAACATGTTTTAGTATATATCTCCTTTTCCATGGCTTCTCTTTAAATGTGTATATTATCAAATTTAGTGGCTTTAATATAATAAAGATCACTGTTAAAATGGAAATTTACTTTCACAACATAAAGGTAGTATCTAAACACCAGTGAGCTATATTAATAGAAATATGCACATACCAAGGTTATTTTTTCTCATCATTCCTAAATATATCATTAGGAAATTGATTAAATAATTCATACTCATCTATTCATTAATTCACCCAACAAATACTTATTGAGCACCTACTGTATGCTAGGCACTGCTCTAGGCACGGCAGATCCAGAATTGAACAAAACAGACAAAAATCTCTACCCACGTGGAGTTTAAGATAATAAACATATATATAGATAAAACAGTGTTGGTAGACAATACTCCATTGGTCTCTCACGTTTCTGTACACCACACAAGCCCAGGCCCTGAAAGTCTTTGTTCTGTATTATCTTTTCAAGGATGCTTGTATGGTGAACAGTTTTGGACAAGACAATGTCTCCCTCCAGGGCAAATGTAAACAGTACAATAAGGATAGTGTCTCCCTCAATATCTTACTGTTAATAATTGTTCTTTATAAAAGATTCATGCTCCCTAAGCTCAAAGTTCTTCTCCTTTAATGCAACCCACTATGTATAGAGGTGTCACCTGGCCCTCTTCCTCATGCCCTGTGGGAATGAAGGTTGGGGAACAGAAGAAATTGGCGTTACTCTGGCTACTGCTGTTCCTCCCTCTCCCTTCTTTCCTTGCTCACCTTTATACTTGATCACATGGGAAAGGGATTAAGTGAGGAATGAGCAGGAGGAGTTTCTTAGGCCATGCTCATGAAAGCTTGCATGGCCTACACTAGGTTTAGAGGCTCAAGAGATGGTATTCAGTTGAGAGTTCTGCAGGTGAGAGTTCCACCAAGCCACACACGATGGTCCGCTATTGCAGCAGGTTGACCAATCCAGTAGTTCTTCTTAAAAGTAAGAAATGTATATATAGTTATAGCTCTGTGGTGTGTAATAGGAACTAACACGGTGTTGTAAGCCAATTGTACTTCAAAAACAAACTCATAGAAAAAGATATCAGATTTGTGGTTGCCACAGGTGGTAGGGAGATGGAAGAATTGGATGAAGTTGGTCAAAAAGGTACAAACCCCCAGTTATAACATAAATAAGTACTGCATGTAGCTTAGTGGTAGAGTATGTGCTTAGCATGCACGAGGTCCTGGGTTCAATCCCCACGATCTCCATTTAAAAAAAAGTAATAAATAGATAAATAGCCAACATTTGTTTAAAAAAAGAAAGTACTAGGAATGTACCATACAATATAAATATAATTATCACTGCTGTACATTATGTATCAAAATTGTTAAGAGAATAAATCCTGAGTTCTCATCACACGGTAATTTTTTCTATTTATTTAATTTCATATCAATATGAAATGATAAATGTTCACGAAACATACTGTGGTAATCATTTCATGACGTATAAGGCAAATCATTATGCTGTACACATTAGACTTAATTTGAACCTCTCTCAAGGAGCATAGTAAGAAAGATGTAAAAAGTATTTTTAGACAGTCTCTTCATCTTTGCCTAGCTGTCTGCTCTCAGGTAAGAATGACAAACAAAATATAGGAGCACCGATGTAAAACAAAACCACTTAGATCAGTCTAACCATGAGGTCTGCCGTCAGTAGATTATGCTATCCTCACGACACCAACATAGTGAAACCATTTTAAAACTTGTTCCTTTAAACTAAAACTCCATTAGATAATGTCCCACATGACTTTTTTTTTCCCTCCAAACCCTAACAAATACAGTTCTGTAGTTTAGTGTTAACTGAACTATCATCTGAAAGCATCATGTCCAACAAACCACTAAAAATAGGAGACATGTATCATCACAAAAGATACGAAAATAAATTTTAGAACAAGTGCAGTATATACATAATAGTTTTAAATGTTTAGTAGAAAATTGTCTCTTTCTACGAAAGAAGTATTATATCCACTTCTCATTCCCCAGATATTTGCTTTCCTCAGGTTTTTCTGAGGATCTCTGTGAAGCGACTCAGAGATGGCAGGCTTCCTGGACATCACATCACTGCAGTGGGCAGCCTGCACTCCAGGAAAGTTCTTTTCAACAAGTGTATGGGAGTCATTAGTATGCATAGTCCCACTTCAAAGGCTGAAAGGAAATGAACTGCATGAATTGGTTTGAATCGTTGAATAAGAAATTACCTTGGGATTATGGATGGGTAGAAATAAGGGGGAAAATGTATAAAGAGATAAATTCAAGAATCAAATAAAACATAAAGAAAGGAATCAATTTATCACAATGTTTAAATCAACTCTTCAGCGTAAAGTGAATTTGAGAAAACTCATCAGTTTCTCAGCATCTACTTAATATCAAACAATAAATATGTACTGAAGGGCTCCTACATAAGGCACCAAATACTATGAAAATATATATGTAAAGTTTGCTTACTCTTCCATATATGAAATGAATATGCTATACACAAAGGATATACAGTTTAAGAAATTTTGAAATAAAATTATTACACATAAATGTAGGAAAAAGAAAGGATACATATCAAAATGCTGCCTTTGGGTAATTGGGCTTTTTATATTTTTTGTTTAATTACATTTTCGAAATGGTCTACAATAAGCATATATTAAAAAAAATTAAAACTCACATTTTACAAAACACACACACTGTAGTAGGCAGAAGAACTGTCCTCCAAAAATGCCCACAGCCTAACCTCTGAAGTCTGTGAATGTGTTACTTTACATGGGTAAAGGAACTTTGCAGATGTAGTCAAATTAAGGATCTTGAGATTGGGAGATTATCCAAGTGAGCCCAATGTGATCACAGGGTTATTATAGGAAGGAGGCAGGAGAAAGAGAGACTTGAAGATGCTATGCTGCTGGCTTTAAAGATGGAGGAAGCTACCACATGGCAAGGAATGTAGGTGGCCTCTAGAAGCTGGCCAAGGAAACGGGTTCTCCCCTGTAGCCTCTAGAAGGAATGCAGCTTTGTAGACACTTTGATTTTAGTGCAGAAAAACACATTTAAGACTTCTGACATCCAGAACTACAAGATAACAAACTTGTGCTGTTTTAAATCACTAAGTTTGTGGTAATTTGTCACAGCAGCAATAGAAAATTAATACACCTGCTTAACAATATAAAGCAACCTTGTCTAAGCACCAAATGAGAGTCAATGAATGCTAAAGAACAGATGTACAAGGTACATTGAGAGGTCATAAGGAAAATAAATCAGGCTTGTTAGAAGCGGGTATTTATGTACAGAAGGACTGGGAAATACGGATGAGGCAGTGGCATGGGATCAGATTGTGAATTTAATTTGATCATTTAAATTAAGCTGAATTTCACTTCAGAGGGGAAAGAATCTGGTTTTTGAAACACAGTTACATACTGCCATTTTATACATTCAAGTTAGTGTATTTACTGACTTCTTAAGTTTTCAAAGAATAAAAATTATTCTATTTTTTAAACTTCAATATCAACCTCTCATCTATAATATACAAACACTAAAGTAGACAAAATTAAGGTCCTTCCCAAACTACCATTCTTGAAGTCCTTGAATAATGGTAGCTCATATATTTTAACTATCATTTAGAATATTAAGTAAAATATCACATTCTCTAAAGATGTTGGATAAGAAACTAGTGTAAGGCTTTTATTTGTCATTAAATAGAAAATAATACTACAGAAATGTTGTAAAAATTATCAATGACCCCAGCACTATAGCCCTGATTGTTTTTGCAAATTATCTTTAGTCTTTACCTCTGTTGACACAAATGAGACATTGAGGATTTCTGTCCTTTTAAACTTCTCAAATAGGAAGAATTTTTATGCTGGTATATAGTTCTTAGAATTATAATTTTAATTGTCAAATAACATCAATTTATTTAATTACAACTTGAATAACTGTACATTTTCATACTTTTTCCTTTTTATTTTTACTAAAAAAATGCTTCAATACATGTTTTCATGCACATAGTGCTTCCTCTTTTTACATCTGGAGGCAAAAAGCTTTTTCTGTAAAGATCAGATTAGCAAATAGTTTAGGCTCTGCAGGCCACATGGTCTTTGTCGCAACTCAACTCTGGCACTGTAGCTTGAGAGCAGCAATAAATGCATGAATGTGGCTGTGCTCTAATAAAATTTTATTTATGGACACTGATATTTGAACTTCATATAATTTTCATATATCATAAAATATCACTCTATTTATTTTTATTTTTTTAACCACTATAACTGGTTAAAACCATTCTCAGTTTGCAGACTGTGTAAGAACAGGTGGTGGGCCTGACTTGACCTGCTGGCTGTGGTCTGCAGATGTGTTTTAGGTTATTTCTTTAGGATAAATGTCTCAAAATGGACTCACTGGGGTAAACAGTAACTACACTGCTGTAACTTAATAATGGTTTCCAAATTACATTTTGAAAGGATTAAGCCATTTATTTTCTTTCTCATTAAAGAGAAATCTTTTGGTACTTTCCCTGCCCATCCAAGTGAGCAACATGGCAAGTGAAAGCTCTCTGTGTGGAATTCACAACACATGGGTCCCAGCTTTATCACTGGCTGGCTGCTCTCGGGTAAGTCACGCAGTTCTTCAGGTGCTCATCTGTAGAGGGAAATAACTGCACCAGAAGCCCTCAACAAAGGCCTAAAAACTCTAAGTCTGTCTTTCCAGTGAACTCACTGCTTCAGTCATTCCTTTACTGGTGGATCAAGTACCACAGATAAAAATGTGGGGAAAAAAGTGATGGTGAGAGAGGAAAGACAAACAAGCAGAGTTACTTTCATTAAGAATATTGAAATTTTACAACTATTACAGAAGACAATAAAAATGTGTACCAAATAACAGTCTGCAAATTATTAGAGAACAAAACCATACATTATGCGTTCATAAAAACCAAATCTGTCTTTTCAAAAGAGCATTTCAACTGTTTTCACTAGGAACAACCCAAATGTCTATCAACAGTGGGATGGAAAAATAAACAGCATATATTCATGCAACAGAATGCTACGTAGTGACAACATGGCTATTTCTCATAGATTATAAGCTAAAGAAAACAGAAACAAGAGAATACACACCACATACTTCCATACCATATACCCATTTACATGAAGTTCAACAACTTTTATTGATAGAAAACTTCTGACTTTTGGAAGATACCCTTTGGGAATGGGGACTGATGTGGAGTGTTCTGGGTACTGAAAACATTCTGTATCTTGACCTGGGTGGTAGTTACACAGTTATATACATATGTCAAAATTTACTGAGTATACACTTACGATGTGTGCATGTTATGAATGGAGTTATACCTCAATTAAAAAGATTTTTTAAAAAGTAAACTAAAAAATACTTCAAAAAATTTTAATTAAAAGAGAAACTTAGCACAGGTGTTATACAAAATAAATTTATTCAGTGATCACAGGTGAGAACATTAGAAGCTAACACAAAAAGACTTTGAAATAAAAACTTTATTGTTTCCCAGAAATAGTGTTCAGGGGTGTAAGTGTTTAGAACATTAATGTGTAATTTCTCTAACCCTATCCTTTCCAATCCTCAAAAAATACCTAGTGAAAATGACCAACATTTAAATGGGTACACTTGAAGAAAAAATAAATCACTGAGGTGATGTGCAGTTTTTAGGATGTGGAAAAAAGGGGTACTAACATTTGCTCTAGACCAAGACAGGGGCTGGCAACAGGTAGTCCATGAGCTATCAGCTATTAAACTTTAAGAAAAACACAAAAACAGAATATAAAAACAAACATGCAAGCCCCTGGCAGCAGGAACAGCAAAAATGGCACCAAAAAAGGTAGCAAAACTCCCAGGAACCCAGCAAAGAAGAATCAGAATAGAATCTGCTGTTGTGAAAAGAAAGAAGGAAGAGGAACCAGTCTCACTGTACCAAGGGACTTAAGTCAATGGTGGGTCATCCTCCAGCCAGACAATGGCAGAGGTCATCCTGAGCAAACTGCACTGACCAGGACAAAGTTTTCATGATACGCCTGCCTGTGGGGTGACTGTAGTGCAAAATGTCACTATGAAAGAGGCACGTCAGAAATTATATCACAGGAGCATCTTGTGGGATTAGCAAACCCAACATGACATGAAAATCATCCATTCTTTATCCCCAAAGTATATAATTTAAAAAATACAGAACATAATCATCAAATTAAAATCTTGAATGAGTAGAGAAAATAGTCACCCATAATGCTTCAACACTTACCCAACACTATTAGCATTTTGCTGTATTTATATTAACTTCTAACTGTGGTCCCTGCATATTTTCTTTTTACATAGTTTATTCATTCACTCAGTAAATGCTTTTTGAGGATTTAGTATGAGCCAAGCATTTTGCTATGTACCAAAGATAAAATGGTCAATTTGTTCTGACAAATTTCCTTTTCTACTTATTAGTAAATTATAAACTTTTCCATTACAAACTTGGAATGAGCCTCATTTTCTAATTTTTTACTGCTATTTAACATATGCAGGGAAGTGCACAAATTGTAGGAGTACAATACAATGAATTATCGCAAAGCGAACATACCCATGTCACTATTGCACTCAGGTTAAAAAGTAGACTCTAGCACCTTGTGTATCTTTAAGTTATTTTAGTAGTGTTTTGGGAGTCTCTTCCTCTCTCTGGTTCGTTCTCCTTTCTCCCATTACAGATGGTGCAGAGATCATGCCTAGAGGTAACCGGCAGTCCTAAAAGGCTCAGCTGGATACTCAGACTGGAGTATCAGGGGAGAGGAAATATGGACTAAAGAGTTTCATAGGTCATAACCATCTCTCCACAAGGTTTCAAGAGAAAAGGGTAAAAAGAATTTTAGAGACTTGGCTATAACTCAGCCCAAATAGGCATTCCAGGCAGAGGCCCCAGGTAAGCATAAAGAGAATGCCTTAAGCTGGAGTATCCCAGCATGTGGGATCCTAAAATTATCGTGGTTGGCAACAACCAGGCAGGATTTCATAAGCAGGAATTCTGGCCTGCTTTGACAGAACTAAAAGAACAAACACTGGAGATATTTCAGTCCAGTTCCATCATTTTACAAAAAAGGAAGCTGAGGACTGAGAGGATGTAAGTACACGCTCGCTCCCGTTGCAGGTATCCACTGCTGCACAATCAATCTCCCAAAAAGCTCAGCAGCTTAAAACAACCATCGTTCGTAGCCATGTGTGGAGATGGATGTTAACTAGACCTACTGTGATGACGATGTCGCTATATACACAATGTAAAATCATTATGTTGTATACCTGAAACTAGCAAATGTTATGTTAATTATATCTCAATTATAAAAAAAAAGAACAAACAAACA